TAAGAATTTTTACCTTCGTGATTCAGAGCGCCTCGCACCATGCCACGTAACGCTTCTCGCAAGTCGTAGCGGTGCAGGTGTTGCCGGAGATTGTTACGCAGGCTGCCCGGCCAGCAGCAGGGAAATCATGCGTGCGATGTGTGAGCGGATCCGCGGCGTGTCCTTTCGCGAGTTTCCTGTGGGCTTCGTTGCGTGACCGTGCACGGTCTCCGAGAAAGCCGGCTTAGGGCGATCATCAGACGGAATGCTTGGTGCACCCCGCGGGTCTTGGAGTTGCAAAGAATGGTCTGCGGCACAAAGGAATGGAGCTTTACCCGGGTGCACTTTGTGCACCAGAGTCATACTTTGGCGAAAAAACCTTTGCGGCACACACACACGGTCATGCTGCGCGTGTCTTCAGCCTGAGCTGGCGCCCACCCTTCGCGCAGTATGACGTCGGCGTCGTTGAAGTGACGCCCTTCCCCCACGTAACGAAGCCCCCAAAATAGCATTGAGCATGTAACACCGGTCCCACGTGGGGAACGCCGGATGACGAAGGGGGCGGGGGAGGGATCAGGCGGCGGGTCGACCCGTCGCGGCGGCGCGTTGTCTCAGCGCTGTCACCTCACTTCCTGTCGTTTGTTTCGGGCCCGGCGGGGGTAATAACTGGGGTCGGACGGCGCGTGTCCTGAGCCGCCCGGTTCGCGAGTGGGAGGCCGGGCCCCGCCTCCGCCATGCGGGACCTGACCCCGCGAACCCCTGCAGGAGTGCCGCACGTAGTGCCGAGTGGCGCCCCCTCGGCTTGCCACGCCGACGGGACTGGCGACCGAGAGAGAAACACCCGGCGCCGCTGTTCCCGGCACGGGCGTTCTGCGGGTTACTCATTGGCTGCACCCTAAAGGGCGAGGCGGCGGGCGGCGTCCCCGGCGACGCGTCCGTGAACGCCGTGGTACGCCGGGTACACCGCTTCCGCAATACGCCGGGCTAGCACGCCGATGGCCGGCTGTCTCGCCGCTGTGTCTCCGGGCCGGCCTGCTGGGCGGGACGCTGCGCCGGGTCGCGGAGGGGCCGGCGGTGCCCGCGCGCCGGACGCGGCCCGACGGCCGAGGCCGGGCGAGGCGCGCAGCGTCGCGAGGGCCGTCAGAGTCAGCGGCCATGCGTGTCAAGGTGCTGGCTCCACGTGTGGGGAGACACGTTGACAGGGCCGCGGATCGTACGTCGGTGAGCCGCGGCACTCGAAGCTGGCTGTTGCGTGTGCTCGCGCCGACGCCGCGCACGGGTCCGCCGCGCGCGGGGTCGCCGGCTGCGGCGCTGAGGCGGCAGTTGCCACGCTCCCACGTCCCCGCCCGACGGTCAGGCGGTGAGTGTCGCTCGCTGTCTCGCTATCGCGCCATCAACAAACCAGCCCGATTATGTCATCGCCTCCGAGCCGGAGGCATGAGCTATCATTAGCGGCGGCGGCGGCCCGCAGCCGGATTGCACAAACAGCGTACGAATTCGTCACCGTTCCGGGAAGGGGCCCGGTCGGCTGGGCGCCGGGAGGTCACCCGAGCGTCGCCGCGGCGACAGGGTGGCAGGTTACGGGGTCTGTAACATCGGGAGCGGAGCCACGGCACCGGCCGCTGGAGCACGACGTGCAGTTGGCGACGGCGCGCCTGGCGGACCGCGGGTCGTGCCGACGTGGGTGAGGCTTAAGTGAGTTAATTGTAGTGAATGCATGCGCGGTAGTAAGGCCACATTGCTGCTAGTTAGCACCCCAAGTGTGGTCAAAGTAAGTCGAAATCTGAGCCATGGAGCCGACGGGCGATGAAGAATGGGTGTCGGAGGACGGAGTAGGCGGGGGACAGTGCACGGGCCCTGACACAGGCAGCCCACGGCTGGCTTGCGGCCGTGGACTGCGAAGGCCGGGTCCAGCTGCCAGTGCCGGCGGAAGTGGAGCGTTTTGTCCCCGATAAGGATAAACAGCAACCGCAGTGGACTGCGCCTCGTGGAGGCGCGGCATTGTCACGTTATCGGGACCAGCCCGCGCCCGCCGGCCCGAGCGCGCACCAGCGCCGCGCGCAGCAGCACACCCGCACACCGGTCCGGCTGGATGTCGCGTCAGTGAACTGGAAGAGTGTGTCGGGATGCGCGGTCGCCCCGCTGGCGCGACGCCAGCGCGGCGCCCCGGCGCGGGGTCGCGTGCAGGTGCTTGAGTTGGGGTACGAGGCGTCCTACGCACAGTGTGCCACACCCCAGCGGGGACACGGGTGGATGTTGCGCCAGAATGAGTTCCGAGCGTCCGTTGCGTCCATATCCGACGCGTCGCACGGAGGTAGGGGCAGGTAGGGAGGTGTGGTAGGGGCATGCCGCCACGTGAAGCGCCGCTGCCGCCGGGGTCGGCTCAGAACCGCGTCGTCACGGCCGACACGGCCGACAGAGCCAGAGGACGACGGCGGCCCCCGCAGGCCGAAGGCCCTCGCTCCGCTCCCGGCGGGCTTGTCCGCCCTGCAAACGGCTCGCTCTCGGCAGCGGCCGGCCTCTGGCAGCTCAGCGGCCGTTCCGGCGCCGCGCCGCCGGCGCTAATCATGGGACCGGCGGCGGCCATGTTCACTGGGGAGCGCCGCCGGCCGGGGTTCGTCAATGCGCGCTGACGGCGGCGACGGAGCGCTGTTGTGGCGGGCGCTGGCCGCGGCGCGCTGGCCGACCGCCAGCGCCCGGAGACGGCCGGCAGCCGGCACCGGCGGCAGCTCGTGCGCTGCGGCCGGCCCCCGGCGCCGCTGCGGATGGGGCCAGGGCCCCGCCGCCGCTACCATGGTGCTGGGGGCTGTGGTACCGCGGGCCGGACTGAAATCGGTGGTCTGAAATGAACTTTTTCGATAAACTTGCTGCTGCGCGGGTGCCTGTGAATTTCTCCGTTTGCGTTCGCATTGCAACGTTGCTCGCCGCCGCCGGCTTGTTTACGTTATAGTGTTAAACGTGTTGCACACGCGCGGAACATTGACCCCTGCCCCAGTTTCCACAGACAGTTGGAAGGCGATTAAAGCTGCCTCGTTTGGTCGTTATCCCGACGTCAAATTGTATTGGATTTTTATATTGTAGCTGCTGGAAATAGGTCAGGTAGCAGTTCAGCGCCATTCGGCATTTGTTGTCCAAGCCTTTATTTCTGTCGCTGTCGGTAAGAGAAATACGCCGCCGCACCGTTTCCTGCCAAACTTCTCCTGGCGTGTTTTCGAGTGTCGCACACTCACAGACCGCCGGGTCGTTGTGCCACGCCGATGGCTGTGCTGTTCGTGCATCAACGCCTACCCCATCTCACCTGTCTCTGCCGCTCTCGCTCGTTGGCTCCGCGCGTCCGCAGTCGACCGGCCGTGTTGAGTCATGCGATAAGCCGGTGCGGCGTGCCGGTAGCGGCCGCATCCCCGCGCGTTCCTCACCTCGCGGCCGACCGCCGGCCCGCCCACGTGCGCGCCACGCCCCGGGCCACGCCGCGCGTGCTGCCGTGCGTCAGCGGCGCCTGCCGTGCCGGCGGCAGCCCGCCGCGATCTGTCATACGCGCCCGGGCGCAGGCGCCGCCGCCCATTGTCTCAGCGCGGCAGAACAAACGGAGGCGGCGGCGCACGCTCACGAACGCCGGGCCGGGCGCCCCGGGTCGGCTCGCTGGCTGACCTTTGCCGGCGCTGGCGGGCGCGGCGGTGGCGGCGGCGGCGGCGGCGGCGGCGGCTCCGGCGGCTCCGGCGCCGGCCGGGACGTGTAACAGTCGGCAGCGGAGGCAATGTCTTTGTCGGTCGCTCAGCCGCCGGCCAGGTGCTCAGGCGTGTTTGGCCCGCACAGCGCCGCGCTGCTCGCCGAAACCAGTCGGCGGGCCGTCACCGACCCGCAGCGAGCAGCGTGACAAGCGCGAGCGCGTGCTCCGGGGATGACCGCCATGTGAGACCTTGAGGCGGTGGCGCTCGCCGGCGTCGCCCGGCTGTTCCGTGAGTTCCGTGGGATGATGACCGCGCGTCGAACGGAGCGCCGGCCGGCGGGGAGGGGGCCATCTCCGGCCGAGCGCGCCGGCGAGTGAAGGGCGGCCAGACGCTGCGGCCGCCCGCGGCGCCGATGGCCTGCAGCCGACCCCCTCCCCCCCCCCCCGGGCCCGCCTCCCGCAGGCGTGGCCACCACCGGTCAGTGTGTGGCCGGCGCCTGCCGGGTGAGGGGCGCGCGGCGGCTCCGGTCCTGCCCAGGCGTAGTCAGTCGGCGGCGGCGCCGGCCGAGTGAGCGCGGAGACGTCGGCGGTGCGGTGCCGACACCGGTCGCGTCAGTACCCGCGGCTGACGGCTGCAAGGTGCGGCGCCGGTCACCGGCCGGCTGACGTCACCTGCCGCTGGCGGGTCTTTGTACGGACCTCTTCGCCGTCGGGTGGTGACTTCCCCGCCGCGCTCGGTGTGGAGCGGAGCCGGCCGCAGGAGCTGAGCGCGGCCTGGAGCCGGCTTCTGCCGGGCGTCGCTCCGCCGGCAAGCCGTCGCCGCCGGGCTGCCGTCCGTGCTGCCGCGGGGGCCGGCCGGCGGGCCGCCCACGCGGCTGCCGTACAAGGTGCGCCCGGCGGCGGCCGCCGGCGGCTGCAGTGGCGTCAGGCGGCCCGGCCGGGCAAGGGTGCGCCGGCGGCGGTGCAGCGCCGCGAGCCATGGCGCTGGCGGGCGGCTCGCCGCCCCCGGTGGTCAGCGCAACCTTCCCGCGTGTGAGTACAGAGCCTGCGCAGCTGCGCTCGGCGGCGACGGCCCGTGGCAGGTGGCGGGAGTGGTGGTGTCTCACGGGCCGGCGGGGCGGCGTTTTACCGCGGCGACGGAGCGTGCGGGTGGACTGTCTCGGCCCGTGGAGCGGCGCGCGAGGCCGTCCGATGACGAGCTGGCCCGTCACACCGCCGGCGTTGGCCGCCACCGCGTCCGGCCGAGCGCCGCCGCCACCCGGCCGCGGCTCCGCGCCGGGCCGGCGGCGGCGCCTCGGCTGGCCGCGGGCGGAGCCGGCTCCCGCGGGCCGGAGCGCCGCGCAGGCGGCTGCCGTCAGCTGCGGCCGTGAAGTCACACCGGCCGTGTGGCAGTGTCGGCGCTACCAGTTTGCACGGTGAACGGGACTGACGGGCCGCAGCTGCAGTCTGTTTCCCGCACTGCGGTTTGGAATCGGAACTGGGGATTATCCGTGCCGATGACGCGAGTTGATGGCTGCCGCAGCGTGTCCTCATGCAGCCGGCTGACTCGGATGATGCGGTCGGGTAGTAATATCCTGTAAGCCACGCCGCGGGGCGCGTTGGGCAGACCTGAGGCTTTGTCCTGCGACCTACCGCACCTCGGTGCTTGACAAAGCCGGTCGACCGCCCTGTCGTAAGCCCCGAGCCGTGTGTCGTGACTTATGACCGCTTTCCCTAATTGCGGTGTGTTCAAAGGGCCGTCGGCCGGCGGATGTGGGCGGTTGTGCGGCGGCGCGGCCGGCCGCTCTACGCACCCGACCCGCTGACCCAGACCGGGTCGGCTTCCGTCCCCGGGGGCCGGCCCGGGTCGCTGCACGCACCGTTGGCGCTGGCGGCGGCGGCCCTGCTTGAGGACGGCCGCGGCTCTGCGGTCCTGCAGACGCGCCGCGTCCGCGAAACGCAGCGATCGTGGCGGTTCTGGCGCGGCGCGAGCGCTGTGCCGGGCTTGATTCATGGCGATGACGGGGGTGGCGTCCGCACGGGCGCATCCGGGACGACGCGCGCCGCCGTTGGACGCGTGACGTCCCGCGGCGGCCCTGCGGCGGCGCAAGTCGCTGATGCAAGTCCAGCCACCGTCGGTGGCGTCCGCGGCCGGCCTCGCGCCGCCGCGTGGCGCGCGAGCTGGTCCGGCGCGCGGCCGCCGGACCAGTGACGTCAGCGCCGCAGCGGCCGCGCCGCCGGCCGTCTAATGAGAGCGGGCGAGCGCGCCGTCCCGAGCGGCGGCAGCTGATGGGCGGCGGCAGATGCCGGCCCGCTGACTCAGGCGACGCCGTCCGCCCGGCGGACGGCGACGCCGGGCCGGCGGCCGCCATCGGGCCGCGGACGCCACAGCGGGCCCGCTGCCGTGACCTTTGACTGGACGCGCTATCGTGAAGCGCCACGGCCATGGGCACCATTGACAAGGTGCCGGGATCCTCCGGCTGCGTGTCTGCTGGGGAGTCGCAGAGACCGCGGGCCAGGTTTGTCGTCGGAGCGGCTCGTCCGGTGTGTCGCAGGCCACGGCCCGATGACCTCCGGTCGGGCCAGCCCCGTGAGCGGGGGGGCGTGGACCGGGTCGCCGGGGGCCGGGCCGCGCGCCTCCGTGTCCGGGCCGGAGCGCCCGCGGAATGTGCGCCAGCAGCTGCTTCTCCCCGCGGACAGTGCGCCGCAGTGCGGGCGCGTTCCAAGGTTGTATGGGGAGCACGGAGCGAGCGCAGCGCGGCGCGGCGCGGGCGGCCGGCTGGCTGCGACCAGCGGAGGAAAGCGGAGCAGGCCGGCGAACGGGAAAACGCCGACGGTCGATCCGCTCACGCGTCCAGCACGGGCAGCCGAACGGAAGTACAGTTGGTGACGCAGCGGCGAGGGCCACGACCCGCCGTCGCCGGGCTGGAGCCGTGCCGGGGGAGTTGGCCGCCGGCCGGTGTCGCCGGACCGCCGGCCGCGTGTCCGCGCTGTCGTCTCTCCTGCACCGGCTCCCGTCGCGCCGGTGGGCCGGCGTGAGTCGCGGCCCAGCCGGCGGCCGGCCGGCCGATGCTTTCCTTGGTTGGTCCACGCTCGGCGCGGTGCGCCCGCCGGGGCCACGCACGGGGCCGGACCCCGCTCCCCGCCGCGGCCTCGCTCTCCGCCGGGACACGCCGCTCCGGTGCCGGTCTCCGG